AAACCATACAATAAAAAAACCTAAGCCCTTTCGCTAGCAGTTGACTCAGTCACCCATTGGGTCCTGCTCATGTTAGTGCTGTGGGGCTGAGTTTGCCCATGACTGTGTTATGCAAACATTTCTGTGTGCTAAAGGGCTCATAATGGTCTGGGCACCCTTTGACCTGAAGACATGAGTCTCAATGCTGCTGAAATTCCCTCCTTACAACAGGGTGTGTCTGCCCTTGAGTCCTGCTAAGCCTCTCCAAGTCAACCTCTGGAGTTAGGAAATTTCATTTGTAATAAATCTGCATTACAGTACAAGTAAATCTGCTTCAGTGGCTATAAAAATTAATTCCTTATCCTAAACATTATTATATAGCTTTCAAAATGAATTGACTGTGGTTGGTAGCCTAGTATGTGCCATTATCGGTAATTAGTGTAACAAAATAACATTGCTGTAATATTTCCTGTCTACCCCTCCCCCAGTTGGGAGCCATTTCCTATTAGAGAATCAGAATTGCAAACGCAATGCTTGTGTGCAAACTGCTTGCTTTGATTTTTCCTTTATTTAATATTTTGTGTGTGTCGGAAGTCTATCTGATCCTTGCTGGGTCTTGGTCTGTGGTTTTCTGGGGTCATTTGCTTCTGAAAAAGCTTTGGTGTGGCACAGGGCACTGTTAGAGCCTGATGCTGGAAGGTGCTGGTGGCTACCTGGAGATGCCCAATGCTCTTGGGTCTCCTTTGAGCTTTAATTTGTGTGCAGCGGCCGCTGAAGTCGCTTACCATCTCCCAGGATCTGGCCCTTGTGCCAGGCCTTGCAGACAATGTGCATCTCAATAGGTTTTTACAGCGATCCACCACACACCTGTTGTCTTCATCCAGAAGCTCGGCTTCTAGAAGACACCAATGATCTGTCCGTGGAGCTGCTTGGGCATCTTGAAGTCTGCCAAGAGGCAGAGGGAAGCAGAGGTTCCCTTTTCTGAAGTAAAGGACCAGGCTGGGGCAACGATTTCTGGGCAGCTGAAGGTGTAAAGAGCAGAAAGATGCGCGCACATGTATGGCTGAGAGGACCTGGAAAACCTTCCTGGGCTTTTGCTACTGGGCAAAGCAAGTTTTCACACCTTATTCTTAGCTTGCTCAAGAAACCTGGACCGGGATTAAAAGGGGGATGGTAACGCAGGAGTAGCAAGTCGGAGTTTAGTTTGCATGCTTCCACCGCTGTGTGTGAGGTGGAAGGACACAATCGGGCAGCTTTGCTCCACAGCTGTGTCTTCAGCTTGTCTGAGGCCGTCCTGCATCGGGCTGCTCCTTCCCGCTGCGCGGCCAGGAGTCATCGAGCCCCGGTCCTCATCCTGATGTGCTGGAGTAGTCTCTCAGGAACACCTGTACTAAACCAACAATGCTGGCCAAAACAACTATGGGTATTTTATTCGTGGAGTTTCCCACTGAACTATTTTTTTTTCCACCATTGTACATCTTTTTTTTTTCCCTCCTGAATCTGCAGCCTTCAGTGTGGCCTTTGGAAATATTCCCCTGCAGCTTTGAAGGTTAGAAACTTGGGATCTAGGACTTTTGTATGAAATACCCAACTTAAAACTGAACAGCTCTGCAATAAGAACCCGGGACCAGAGAAAGGGTAAGCTGGGGGGGAGGTAAGACTTTTCGTGCTGTCCTCAGCATTGAGTTATTTCTTGAGTTTTGATGACATGACAGCTTCAGAAGTCTGCATATATGCCCTGGACTCAGTCACCCCGTATATCACATAGCTGAAAAATACCAAAACTAAGCAGCAAAACGGAGTGGGAGATATCTTTGCCACCCTGGAAAACATGCAAGATTTAGATAGAGTACTAATAATAACATCAGTACTGTTCTTGGCCTGGATGGGGATGGTAAATCATAAATCCAAATTCCAGCAAGTTACAAAGTGAACAGACTGTGCCAGCTGAAACCTTTGACTTGGTCCAAACTGGTTTTGGTAGCTGAGCCCAGGGTTTTGTGTTTCTCCTGGAGTTGTATGAGTGCAATTAGCTGCAGCTTGAGGATACAGGCTTTCCTCCCCCAGCTTGGAGTGGATAAGTTGCATGTTGGAAGGTGATACAATCATGACTTCAGGATTTTCTCCGACTTTTTTTATTTCCATAGGTCAAAGGATATTGAAATGATTCAAAACAGGATTTCACTAGGAGTGAGCCTGATGTATTTTTCCCAGTGGAGAATCCCACACTGATATGGGTAATGCCACCGCAGTACTTTGAAGCCTCTGTCCCCGTCACGAGCAGTGCTTTAGGCGTTGTTGGTACTGACCAGGAAATCCAGGATATTTTCTTTTTAATTTCTTTATTGAAAGGTCTGTATCTTGGGGGTTTGTATGGAATGAAATGTTTTTAAACCCTTTGACCAGTTCCTCCTGTACTCTTGCTTTTGAAAAAAAGTGACTTTTCTGTGACACCAAACATATCTTTCTAACTAGAACTTGTTGGGTTTATTTGCTGCCCTTCTCATGTCACTGACACCCAAGTTTGCTGAAGTCTTTGTGCGTAGAATTCAAAATGTTCAGATTCTCATCAAAGTGGAAAATACCTGGTTTTCTTCGTATGCTTATTTCTGCATTTCCTCTCAGTTCTTCCTCCCAATACCAAACCTCTCCCACACCTCTGCTGCACTCGTTGCTCAGCTGTTTCAAAGGACCCCAGCGAAGTTATGTCAGCTTTATTCTTGGTGTGAGCCTAGAATTTCTTGTATCTTTTTAATGAACCATATAATTCTGGAGGAGAAAAATTAAGAAAACAAAAGCTGTAGCAAGTCAGTATGGTGAATGAGTCCTTAATGGCGCAAGGCTTTCTGGACAGGCTGGATCTATGGGCAGAGGCCAACTGTATGAGGTTCAACAAGGCCAAGTGCTGGGTCCTGCACTTGGGTCACAACAACCCCATGCAATGCTCCAGGCTTGGGGAGGAGTGGCTGGAGAGCTGCCCAGTGGAAAAAGATCTTGGGGTGTTGGTGGGCAGCCAGCTGACCATGAGCCAGCAGTGTGCCCAGATGGCCAAGAAGGCCAACAGCATCCTAGCTTGGATCAGGAATGGTGTGGCCAGCAGGAGCAGGGAGGGGATCGTGCCCCTGTACTTGGCACTGGTGAGGCTGCACCTCGAGTGCTGTGTTCAGCTTTGGGCCCCTCACCACAAGAAGGATGGTGAGGGGCTGGCGCGGGTCCAGAGAAGGTCTCTTCTCCCGAGGAACTAGTGATAGGACAAGAGGCAATGGCTTCAAGTCGTGTCAGGGGAGGTTTAGATTAAATATTAGGAAAAATGTCTTTACTGACAGAGTGGTCAGGTGTTGGACCAGGCTGCCCAGGGCAGGAGTGGAGTCCCCATCCCTGGAGGGGTTCAAAAAACCTGTGGATGTGGCACTTTGAGATATGGTTTAGGAGGTGTGGGGGGGTTGGGTGGATGGTTGGACCTGATGATCTCAGAGGTCTTTTCCAACCTATGATTCTATGAAACTATGAAGCAGAAATCAGATCTCCTGTTTGCAGGAAAAAGTCTGCAATTCTAGATTTCTCAAATAAAACCAGTCTCAAAGATAAAAAAAATCAGAAAATGTGTTTTGAGTTAAAATAAATATTTAATTTCAATAAAATCAAAGTATTTCAAATGTATTTTCTTTGTTCATTTAATATTTTATGGGATAAGCCTAAAATTAAACATGAAGTTGTTTCTCAGGGGGGGAAAAAACAGGTTGTTATGTGTTTCTTTTTAAAAATAAATATATATCAATCTGATACAAGTATTTTTTTCCTTTTCCCAGAATAAACTTTTCCTCACACTGAGAAATTCTGTATAGTGTTGTCTCAGCAGCCTTCTTGGAAAGACGGTGCCTCTCTGGGTACCGGATCTCCCGACGCTCCAGGGACAAAGATAAGCTCTTGGTGCTATGGTGTAGTTTGGAGAAATAGGTGTTCTATATTATCTTTTTTTCTTGTATGGCCTTGCTGTAACAGATCTGGGTAGACAGGGAAAACCGAGGTTTGAGAGCCACTGTGGCATCTCCTAGCATCTGTGTGAAGGACCTGTGGTTTTACCTGGCTTTGAGGTTTTCACTTACTGCTTGGATGGCTGAGTACAACTCACTTAAAGAACAGTGGCACATGTGGCAAGAAACCTCCCAACTTGTCTAAACTTCAGTTGTGCAAGTGTTTTTCTTTGTTCTCTTCGTGTGTACATAGAAAGAGAGACCTCTTATGAGCTCTGAAACACAACAAGGCAAGGTTGGGACATAACATCAGAATTTGTGCATGCTTCCAAGTGAAAGCTCTGCTGCCTGGCCTGGGTTTACATATGCATAGATTTGTTTGCTTGAATATTTAAAACAAGAAGAGTGTGCTTTGTTGTCATTGTAATGTAGACTGCTTCCTGAAATCATTCATTTGCAGCACAATTCTGATCTCTTGTCTATAGACTTCCACTGTGGCAACTGAAAGGCTTGGCTTTTTTTGGAGTGGTAATAACAGGGGCAATGTAATGAAATGCAGGACAAGCAGAGCGCAGATCAGCTCTCTTTAATGTAGGTCACTTATGGATGTGCTTGTCTGGTGGTATTTCTCCTCTGATGTTTGCATATATGCTATTTATCTGTTTTCTGTGACCCTCAATCACTGTCTGCAGCAAGCTTCCACTTCTGCTAGGAGATTTGTGGAGGGAAAGCAGCTACACTTGACCTTTTGTTTTCTACATCAGATTTCTGACAATATAAATAGTTTCCTGGTCACTGGTAAGATTGTTGTGCTGGCAAAAATCATCCTGTTTCTACCAGTTGTGTATCCTCGAGCTTTTCTCACGGTTATCCACTGGTAGTTACGAAAATGGGTGCAGATCTCCCAGAGAGCCAGCAAGGACGGGAGCCCATGCAACCGCTCCCGTTGCAAAGCAGAGCCTCACTGCGACCAGCGCATGTGATCAAGGATGGAAAACAAGGTTATGGTAGTCCCGTGCCTGATGACCGCTCCAGCTTCTGCTGCAGCTGCACTGGTGCTACCAACACTGGCGATTTCAGATTTGCGGGGGAGAAAAGTCGGGTTGAACTTCTGCACCCGCTGAAGCTCGCCGGCAGCTTCGGACAAGGCAGCGAGACGCGCGTGTGCTCCCCTCTGCTCAGCAGCAAGGTGTGAGCTGCCGAAGGGAAGCGATGTCCCAGCACTTTATGCTGACTCGGAGCGAACCGCCGGTGCTGACTCGGAGCGAGCCGCCGATACCTGGGGCAGTTGCGGAGGGGATAGCGGCACCGCCGGAACGGTGGCGGGAGCAACACCGACAATTTACTGTCCCGCTGCACGGATGCTACAGGAAGGCCCGTAAATGGCCACATAAAGGGATTCTGGGTGGGAGCTGGGAATACCCTGACAAACACAACTCTCCCTTAATTTAATAGAAGGGTCCATTCAGCAGAGAATATATTGTAAAGCGCTCTCAGGTTGGATGGCCTCCTATTGTGTCTGGCCTTTGAAGTGCTGATTAGCTGGGCTGGGAACACGCTGATAAAAAGTTAATTTCTATTTGCTGTTGCTTTGTAATTGGATGAACACGAAAGCAATTAAATATTAAAACATACAAACAAATAACGAAGTCACTGTAATTAGCCAAAGTTTGATCACTGTCATATTTATTTAGGAGGAGATGATATGTCTCAGCAGGTGACATTTTAAATACCCTTGGCTGCTTTGGTGTTGTCTTCAGAGAATGCTGAATAATGTACGGAGGATTTAATTAAACCCCATTGTAAATCAGCTATGATGACAGGGAAGTGACAGCCACATGTTGAAAAAAAGAATTAGGCTGTAGCAAGAGAGATTAATTAACTATTTTCTACAGAGTTCAACCTAGGTGTTGTGCAAGGGAGTCTGTCCGAGAAGGAGAATTTGATTTTTAAGTTGTTCCACTTGAGGCTGGAGCCTGGTGTGGAGAAGGATGCTCTGTGCCCAGAGACGTCGCAGCCCCTACAAGGAGTGGTTGCCATCGTTCGTACGTCTTGAGAGAGGGAAACTGAGGCAGGTAGTGCTGCAGCCTGCGGTGGTGGGTGCTGCTTTCATCTCCCAGCGCCTTTGCAGACCCTGGGTTGCAGGATCATAGGAATTCTGCAAAGCTTCTTTGAGCCTTGAAGTGGGAAGGGAAGCTCCTGGAATGTTTGCTCAGCTTTGGTCACATCAGAAAACCCCAAAGTTTCTCAGCCAGAGTTATCTGAGCTCCCTGGTCAGTGCTTTTGCAGGACACGCTTTCCTGAGGTCCGTTTGCTACTGGCCAAACCTAGTGAGTGTTGTCATGTTAGTAATAGTAAGAAATAGTTAAATGAACTGGTGGGACTCTCCTTAGTCCAGTTTGGTAGTTTTATGTTAACATTCCTCGATGGGCCTGGCCTTTGGCAGCTCCTCCCCACTGCTTGGTAGATGTGCTTCAGCTGGCTCTGCATGGTGGTAGAAGCTTCCCCTATCCAGGGAAGCGTGGGAGGAAGGTGTTGGTGTCTGTGAGAAGGGATGGCGTTGGGAGACAAGCTGTTCAAGTGGGAGGGATGGGAAGCACAGGCAGAAATTAGGAAGGAGCCTGCAAAACTGTCCATGACTGCTAGGGAAGAGCGCCAGGAATACGGTTGATCAGCAGCATTGACATTTGGTGATTATCAAGCATGTTGTGTAATACTCCTCTTTCTCCTGTTCTAAAAGCACTGTTGCCTTCCGTGTGCGTGGGCTGCAGGGAGAGGAGGTGGTTCAGCGCTCTTGCGAGGTGAGAGCTGACTGCTGGCCAGGCCTGGAAAAGCATTTTGTCTAAAGCACCTACAAGGAGCTTGTCAGGGGTGGATCTGGTTGCCACCTAGAAGAAGGTGTTAGACCACACCAGGCTTTTCCTCCTTTCTGCTCCTATTAAGACATATTTCCAGTGTTACATGAGAAAAAAGATGTATTCCCAGCTGCCAGTGAGGGACAGATTTTGCCCATGTTTAAACACTCCAGAAGAAAAGAAAACAAGTCTAAGTGTAACGATACAGGAGGAAGTTGGGCTGAAGAACCTCAAATCAGCAAATCAGACTGAAAACCCACAGACAATCCCCATGCTGGGTTTTGCTACTGCTGTGCTTTGTGTCAGGGATGTGGTTAAGAGCCTTGCAGACTTGAGCTATGAGATGAAGTTTAAAAACAGAAATAGGCTGGGCGGGGGGGCTAACGGGGGGGTAACTGGAGAGAGCTGTGAGAGGGGAGCAGGAGTTGTGCAACAGGGGCTATGAGATGCTGCTGCTCTTCAGAAGGGCACCCGGTAATTTGGTCGCTTATTGAACGACCCCGTGCATCTCCTCCCGGTGCTCAGCGATGGCCCTGCCGGGACCCGGCGTGAGGATGAGTGTGGGTGGCTCGGTGTGGGCAGGCGGGCGTGGAGGAGGCAGCCCTCCCTCCTGCACAGGTACAGAGCTGCCTCACCTGGGATCGCAGCACGCAGCTGGAGCTTTGGCTGCGGGAGATGAGGATTTGCACATATGACTTTGCATTTCAAAGCCTCATTCTCTCCCTCTCTTCCCAGTGAAAACTGGGAGTAATTGTACACATTGCAGGAAAAAATTCATTTTATTCCCAGAGGTGTGAATTAATTGATTCAGCCCAGGAAAAAGACCTGGGCACTGTTACAGCCAGCTCCCTGAAGGCATCTCCTCGGTGTACGGGTCTGATCAAAAATGCAAAGAGGATCTTAAGAGGAGTAAGGGATGGGAAAGGATAGAAAGTAATAAGGAAATAGAATGCTGTCATGATGCAAACGAGTAGTGCTTCCTTCTCTGAATACAACACAAATTAATGATTTCTGCTCCCCAAATGGCCTTACAATTCTACTGGGTGTGCAGAGCTGAAGGAAAATAGTGATCAGGGGCTGGAAAGTTCCCCTGTCATGGCAGAATGAGCAGCTGGTTTTGCAGAGCACTGGGCTGACATGATGCTTGAGCCCCAGAGGAGAGGAACTGAAGCCCTGCCTCTGCCAGAAAGGCTGTGGTGATGTGAAGCAGCTCACCCTGAGCTCCACGCTCATGGGCAGTTGCTGACTGCAAGCTCTTCCCTTCCTGGGTGGCTGTGGAGGCTACAGCCTGGTGTCAGGGCTGCATGGGGAGCAGTAGGTATCAAGAAGGGATTTGTCCTTTCCCCTGTCCTCATCCATGACTTGCTGGTTGTGTTTTGGGTCTCTTGCTGCTTCTGAAGCTTCAGAGAGCACTGCTGTGACAGACAGGCTGCACTGGCTGACGTCCTGGCACCGCTCCCTTGGGCTGCGTTGGTGTAAGTGCTCACCAGGGCCAGCTTGTGCTGCCCGCTGGATCTGGGGGTGGGAGGGCGTTTTTTCCCTGTACCAGGTGGGCAGGGATTATGGATGGGCAATTTGCTGTATTCCATGGTGCCGTATTTATGGGGTCCTTCAAATCAAGAGGGTCTACTGTTCATTGGTGGCAGGACCGCAATGTGCATGTGATGCTTTTGCTCTCTCCTCCTTTGGCATATTTTTGCCATGATTTCTGGTCTTCTAATGCAAGTCCTCAGCCCACCAAAGGTGTATGAGGAAGTGTTTTGTGGTGGGTTGTGTTATGAGACACGGTCTTTGGGATGATCTGTAGTAAGCACATAATTTTGGCTGCCCCATACTTGTGCCGTTGAAGCAGCTATTGAAGCTACCTGTGTAACCTATGGTGAGAGACAGCAGTCTCGGAGGGAAGGATCCTGGATGGCTGTCTCTTTGCAGACCATAAGACAGCCTGGATGCCTGCAGGAGACTTCCTGGATAAGATGCTAAATGCAGGGAAACTTCATTTCAACTTAACCCCAGTGCTGCTGGGTTCTCAGCTGCTATGGCAGACACGACTGGGCCCAGCTGGGGAAGCTGTGGACTCGTAGCTGAACGTGGAGGCTGTTGGAGCAGTGCTCTAAACACTGAGAGCTTTGACGTGCTCTGAGAAATGGGTCCTTTTCGCATCTTGGATTGAGCACCCAACCACGTGATACCCTTCTGATTTTAATTTGATTGTGCCTCAGTTCCCCATCTGTACAAGAATAATTCCACTCTTCCTTGCAGGACTGCTGTAAGGTAAATTAATGTTTGCAAACCATTCAGATACTATGATAATAAATGTTGTGAAAGCCCAGGAGAAAATTAATAGCTCATTATTTAGAGCAGGATTTCAATAGCATGCCATACAGAGGACACAGGGCTACATATTGAATGATGAGGATAAATAAGAATATTGAATAGCTACTCATTAAGAGAGCACTATCCATCTGGTGTATAAAAGGGGGCTTTTTCCTGCAGAAAACGTGGTCCATGATCATATTATTACAACATGTGTTGCGATGCATCTATGCAAGGGGACTGGGCTGGGGTTATCTGTGCAGTTCGGATTCAGGCATTTTTCAAGTGCTTGACTGCAACCTGACTGCTCTTTTAGCACTGGGGTTGGCTTTAATATATAGCAAAGAGATAAAAATGCCGGTAGATGGCACTCAAGAATATGGAGCATCATTCCTGGGTGTGTGAGACCAATGCAATGTGGTGGTGTTTTGTACCACAAATGGCTTCCTCTGCGCAGCTCTCTATTGGCTCTTTTTTCTGTCGTTTTCTGGCCTGAAAGTTTGGTGCAGAGGGCAAAGGAAAAACACATGTGTAAAGCAGCAGTCGCTGTTAGGTTGTCCGTGCACTTTTCCTGGATCTCAATTTCGTTTCTACCCTTCGGGTTTAAAGTACTTAACAGTCTAGAAATGCTGGGCTGTGTTCTCCTCAGATGACCCTTTTTTATGAGTTGCTTACAGCTCGTCTGTAAGATGAGATGGCAACTTAATTTGAAAGCTGAAGTTAATTGACCTAAATAAACTAAGAACCTTCTGTTGGCTTTATGGTAAAAAAAGATAAAACCCAAACCTGCAGAACTCTAGCTCTCTCCTCCTTAAACATACTGCAGAGCAGAATGGTTTTCCTGGTGCATTTTCAAGCTGCTGCTATTTACTAAGAGTTATTTGTGGCGTGGTGTTGACCAGAGAGCCACAGTCCGAAAGCTGTTGTGCTCAGTGTAGATGTGCAGAGACGGGGAGGCAGCACCAACCTGGAGCAGCTCGGTTTGACTGGGGCAGCAAATCATAATCAGGGAGGGTCTGGCTGC